TATAAAACTTTGTATAATGTAAATGTATAAATATGTCTAACTAGTTTATATTAAAGTGGCTTATGTAAGATTATAAATGTATATGATCAAATCTGTCATACAATCTAAGAGAAAATACATTCTCTGATGTCACTAACACATTTACATTCTATTTTTGATGGCCACCACATTGTGCTTGAATAAATTAATTCTGGATATTAACCACCTCTGGGAAGGAGGAATTTAAACTCTCAGAACTCAGCAGAGCGGACACTGCTATAAAAAGGTGTGCTGACGGGGTCAGCCTCCAGGTACTCCAGTTTCCCCCCACACTCCAAACACAGACTGGTAGGTTAATTGGCTCTTGTCTAAATTGTCCCTAATATGTGTTTGTATGTGAGATAGGGAAGTTTGATTGTAAGCTTCTTGAGGGCAGGGACTGATGTAAATGTCCAGTAAGTAAAGCACTACGTCAATTGTCAGCACTATATTAATACTACTATTAAAATAGTTGGCTGATGCAGGTATATGTAGACTTTTCTAAGGTGTATTTATTCAATCTTATGGTTGTATCACTCTCAAAGCAGGCAGATATAAAAGGTAAAAATTAATGCAGCTCTATAATCCTTAACACATCATTAAATGTATTTTATTAAAACTCATAATTCTCAGTACAGGAAACCTGTAATGAGAAAACACAAGTAAACTGACATTGCTAGGTTAATACAGCTGACCACCTTAACTGCCTGACTCTCCCTTGAGTAAGTGACTCAAAACAAGCTGCAGAAAGAAAAGTCAGAGAATGCTCATTTGGGGTCAACAGTTGAAAGTATGGAAGTCAGCAGATCAGCAGAATAGCAAGGCAAATAGTATTTAAAAAAATATTAATGCAGCGCCAGCCTACATTTTTCTTACATTCAGACTTTCTTCAGCAAAAACTTTTGTTCATACCAAAACCAGTTCTAAAAAGCTTCCAGTTATATAGCAATAATCAGATATCAAATAATTGGGGAAAGGAAGGTTTAGTAAGAGAAAAAATGTTCTGAAGGAGGGTCCCCTATTTTTCTACTTTAGACATAATTGTAGTTTTTCCCCAGAAAGGGGATCCCACCATGCCTTCAAATTGTGTAACAAGTATTTATAGAAATATATATTTATTAATTGTAGAAATACTAAAAATATAAAAATTGTTATACACAACATGACACGTCCTAGATATCACAGGTATCAAAAAATATATCAAAGGAAATCAAAAAACACACACACATATATATATATGGCTGCATTCAGCTAATACATCTTTAGCAAATGTATTATGGAACAAATAGTGTGGAGGCACACCGTGTGCAACGCCTAATGTTCTCAGATGACAGAAAAAACTGGTGTCAAAAATGTATATATATATTATTTCTTTTTTTGGTGAACAACGCCCTTCTGATGAAGCCCCGGTGTGGAAGGGGGTGAAGCGCGTCATAGGCGTTCAGTGAAGGTTTTCTCTGTGTGGCTGCTTCAGCTGAGGCCGCTCTATGTCTTTCGCCTTAGATATCCACTCAACTATTCTAACCAGGTACAAAAACCTCTTCGTTTGATACTTGTTACACTATTTGAAGGAATGGTGGGATCCCCTTTCTGGGGAAAAACTACAATTTTGTCCTAAATAATCAGATATGTCTGTCAATGAACAAAAGAAACAATAGGATTTTAATTGTACTCCCGTAAAATAATTTTCTGTGAGTTCATTGATGGACATAGCATTTTCTACTCTTAGTGGATTATACTCCTACAGATAGCTGTACAACTCAAATATAAAATAGAAAGAGCTATATCCGTTAATGAATGAAAGAGAGAATACATTGATTTGTCCTATTAAGATTCAGTTATTTCATCATCTACTGTCTGATGATTTGAAAGCATATCTAAAAAAAAATTATATCCTGCAGCCACCACCTTAGATGTGGTGGCAGCATTAGTTTTCTTAATGGCTAAATAAGGCTCAGTATATTTAATAGAAATATTTAGGGCTGCGGAAATTAATGATTAATTACCTGATTAATCGTTAATATTTTTGATCGATTAAAATTATTTTGATCAATAATGAAAACACTCACCTCTCCGCCGGCTTCCGGGTCTTCAATCGGAGATCCGGTGACGTCATTCCACTTGGGCCGGTGTTCTATCGATAGTCCCAACTTATCAAGTTCTGGGATCGCCTGACCTCCGGTTTCCTTAGAACTACGAGGTTTGGCCAAGAAAGTTCTTCTGCACGAGCGCCATCCGTGGCATTGCCCTATATACATACACCACAGCAATAAAGTACTAAAATGAGCTAGGATCACACTAATCCAGCACGTTATTTATCTCAGGTGCCACACTCAATATTTGACATAACTACAGAAAAGTACTTGTTGACCCTGCAAGGAATTCAGTGTCCTTGCAACTTCCTGTGTGCTGTAATGAAATCTCAATCAGCTTCCTTAGTTATCTTTTGTGAACTACAAAGCAATGTCCCTCTATTTAATCAGTAGAGCAGCCTAGGAATGCAATGTTGCTTCCCCATAAATACAGTGCAGCAAGTGAGAGTTGTCATTCGAGGACAGGAAGTGTGTTATTGGCAGAATCACCAGACAGAAAAAAATGAATTTGTGTGTGTATATGTATATATATATATATATATTTATTGTGTGTGTTTTGTTATATTGGCT